ACTACTGTTTCCTCAGTCCGCGATAGCAACTGGCTTTTACCAGCATTCAGCGGCAAATTCCACTTCTGTACCCAGCTAAGGACAGCAGTTATGTCTCTTTTTAGGTTCTCTTTTCCTTCAGATCATACCACCTTGATATCGTCGGCGAAGAAAAAGGTGGGCGATGTCAGCAGCGCAGCAAGGCCGTTTACGAAAAGCAGGAACAACAATGGACCTAGCACAGAGCCCTGAGGTACACCACTTGTGGCGAGTGCTGTACAGGAGCACTTGTCCCCTACTTTGACATAGAAGGTCGTGTTTGTGACGAAGTCTCTCAGCCGTTGGTGGATTTGTCCCCTTATGCCGAACGCCCCTATTTTGACCAATAGAAGGCGTTGATTACCGAGTCAAACGCCTTGCTAAGGTCAAGATAACACACATCTACTCTGTGTCCCTCGTCCAATCTTCTGATAACTTCGTCCAAGAAGCACAGTGGATTAGTCAAACAGGATCTACCTTCGAGAAGCCCGTGTTGAGTTGGACACAGCATAGAGTGCTGCGTTAGGTGCTGGTATATATTGGTGCGAATAATCTTTTCTAGCACCTTACACAAGGTACTAGTTAGACGTTACCCACGCCTGTTGATTTCCAGTAGATCTAAAGCTCTTCCAGTACCTATTCCGTTGTTTGATGGTTCTGGCTATGGCTGCTCTCCACCACAACGGCTTGTTCCCACATCGGCTGGGTCTCAGTGGAGCAAATTCATTTTGTAGATATACGAGGACCTCCTTAAAAAACGTCCAATGCTCATCTACACTGACCCCTTCCGGAGCCTCCTTAACCAACTCCGATGCCCTGTTTCAAAGATTCCCTAGATCCATGCATCCGAAATTTCTAATGAGTTTGGGTGGTCTCCTAGCTTGCCGCCTGCGCACTTTGATCGACAGGATGACGTGGTCCCTTTTACCAAGCGGTGTGTGCGACTGTAACGCCATGATATCATTTTTGTGTGTGGTGATCATTAGATCTAGCTGGGACGGAGCATTACCCGACCTGAAAATAGTGCTTTCGTTAACATGTTGTCATAGGGCGTTTTCATGCAGTCATTTGATGTAGTCCTCTTCTGCTGTTCCTCGGGTGCATACCTCAGACCTCCAGTCTATGTGGTAGGTTGAAGTCCCCAACAATGATAGCTTTGTTATCCTCCTTTACTATCCTCGTGAGGGCACCCAGCAGTTGACTATCTTCTTTACGGTTTGTACTTGGTGCACGATACACACACTACGTTAACCCTTCTATTCTTGAGTATTAGAGTTACCGTGCACAACTGCACATTTCTCGTGCAGAGAGTGGTCTCTGATTTTATATGGTTTGTGTCTCTTCTTATAAGAATTGCCACTCCTCCTCCTGCATACACCTGATTTCGGTCCTGCCGGTAGACAGAGAACGACTCCTGAACTGTCTGTGGTATATGGTCTGTGTCACTCAACCATTTCCTGGTGGTTGCCACTACAGACACCTTCTGTTTCCAGGCTATCTGAGACAATTCTACCCATTTATTCCTAAGGCTGCATGCCTTGGTGTATAGCATGAACAAGCTGTCCTCTGTTCCTATGCGTTTCCCATAGATGCAGCACCCGAGGAGACAGCAAGTTTTTTCCGCGGTGTTTGTAGCCTGCGGGTCTCTTTGGTGAGCTACCTCAGTCGGTGGTTCTTTGCTTAGCCGTAGTGAAGCCTCTCCGTCTGCGTTGTCTTCTTGCGGAAACTTTGCCACTGCTGGTCTTCTAGGACATCCTCAATGACCACGACTCCCGGTGATACCCTAGGTATGCGCGCTATGCGATTGCCGGAAGATATCCTCCGAGTTTGGATCTGGTCGTTTAGTTTGTCAGGATTTATACCCACTTCTCGAGCACTTAAGCGTTCTCTGCGACTCCCGCTGGGTCCGTCTGGCGCAATCTGATATCGGCCTCTTGTTCTTTGGGCCACCAACACAGATTGGGCCATCAGCAGATCCCTAGTTTGTTCCGCAACGAACTCTACTAGAATTGGTCGCGCAGGCGGGCCATTTCTATGGGGATTCTGGGCTTTAAACGTCCCCATCCGATGAACTCTTTTAATACCTCCAGGATGCAAGATACCTGCTAGACGCAAGATGTCTAACACCCTCCTACGGTCCAACTCTCTCCGGGTCTTGGCCTCCCTTATATAAGGCTCCTCCCGGTTTATTACCAGAAGCCTTCGCCCGGACGACTTATTCATCGTATGAATCTGCCTTTACAGATCCATAACGTGCCTTCCAAGGGCTTTTAGTTCCGGGTGACTGGTTCCCGAGTCTTTTTTCTGCTTCTTCGCTCGAGGTCTCTTAACCGGTTGCTGCACCTTCATTCCTACTCCGCTGACGACCTGTAGAACTGGGGTAGAGGCAAACGCCACCGAGAAATTGCTGGTACGTCCTGATAACACTTTTTGCGCTGGAGTACTGGCAACCTCTGCATATGACCGACGCGCTGCGGCCGCGGGTAGCGATTTTGTTCCTGAATGTTCAAGGATGTTCTCTCTGTATGGTGTTNGGAACGCAAGCCATGCCGCTTCCTTACAGCGTATACATACTCACTTGGCGCACTTACTCTGGCAATACAGTGAATACACTTCTGCATAGATTGCGGAGTACTTTGGATGGGCCCATCTTTTGCACACATCGCACTCAATTCCCTTAACTACGCCTTTAACGCATTCCTTATTGAGATACGGATAGGATACTCGTGGCATAATTCAACCAAAAAAGACTACAAATAGAAATTCGTAATACTCCTAAGAAAGAAAACTTCGGGTAAAATACACAACAAAGGCAAAACGAGAAAAACGATGCGAGAATAGTTACTTCGGAGAATTTAAACTCCGGATAACTCAATATAGCTCTGATGTACTAAAACTGCGTAAAATACTTGTGAGATAACTGACGTTATTTCACTGCAACAACGATAAAGTTAGCCAAAACGCAGAGCACTTCAAAATTTCAAACCGCGCTGCACTCACGGNGCAGACTTCACTTTTGAAGTCTTGAAGTTTTGTAGTATTACACGAGTGCAAGGCTAGACCCAATGGTCCCGGATCTTAGTAGTTTTCAAGGTTTCTTCTGAGGGCGGATGTTAGGTAGTTAGGGTGATTCCGTGTCCTGTTTGTAGAAGAAGGTAACCAAAAATGAGGTAAGTGGAAGGGAGTGGGGTACAGTATCTGCGTGCAGTGCAAGAAATCGGGAAAAACACTGAACATGATATGAATAACGCCAGGAAGCAGGGAGGTGTTCACCGTTCAGGGATTAAACCAAGATGTAGGTCTAGATTCCTTTTGAAAGCACATCTTGTGGGGGCGTTAACTACTTCTTCGGGGATGCCATTCCAAAGAGAAATGACCCTGTGGGTGAAAGAGCACTGACAGATTAGTGCACGGGCACGCGATTTGAAGAGTTTCATATTATGCTCACGAAGATTGTCCGTACTTGTGTGCACAAAGAAGTCATCAACCCTGCCGAAATTAAAGAGATTGTACAATATGAAGATGTCACCCCTTATTCGGCGGGTTTAAAGAAGGTACAGGTTCAAGATGGAAAAGCGTGTAGGGTAAGGGATGGAGGACAAGCCATGCATAAGTTTTGTCGTCCTCCGTTGTACACGCTCCAGGGCCGTACAATCGCATACCAGGCGGGAGTGAGCAATTTGACTCCCGTATTCGAATAAGGGTCGTACGTGCTATATCAAATCTGAAAGTCGTCTCTCTCCATCCTGAGAAAAGAACGTC